CGACAATAAAGTTGCAACATTACGAGAATAAAGTTCCAACATAACGAGAATAAAGTAATAAAATTACAATAATAAAGTTGAAAAACAACTTCTCTCATAATGTTATGACTATTCTCATTGCGACTTTATTCTCGTGATGTTATGACTTTATTTTTTCACAATTTTTACGAACTTTAAGTTCGTAATGTTTACGACTTTATGAAAATAAAGTCCTAAAAATTATTTTCACAGTTTTTTACGACTTTATTTTCATAATTGTTACGACTTAATCTTGTAATGTTACGACTTTATTCTCGTACTAAAATGAAAATTGTAAAAATCTCTAGCTTGGCCCTAATATTCTATCGTATTATTGACTAATAACTGACATCTTTGGCCAAAGGCTTGAAGCCTAAATATGTGGGCAGCAGCAGCAGCAGCAGCAGCAGGAGGAGGAGGAGGGATGATGATGAAGATAAAGCAGAGTCACAGTCTGTTGGCTCTCCCCCCCCCCACCTGTACAAGCATCCCGGGCTTCATGCTGCATCATGTCTTTACTTGACTCTGACTGCAGGCTGTGAGGAAGCCATTCCCACAAACACGGCTCCCAACAGGGAACGCCGGGAACACAACGCGCCCTTTGTGCGTCGGAGGGCCACACATCATCCCATATACATCACAGGACGTGTTAAAGGCTGCAGACGCAGCGGAGGAGGAGGACGCTTTGATTTAGGAGGACAAAAAGAAGACCTTCCCCGCTCCCTGTGAGCCGCAGCTCGCACTGATGCAGGTGGGATTTAGACGTCTGCAGAGGGAGCCTCCTCTAATCCTGCTCTCCTGAGAAATACGCTTCAGATTTCTAGTTTTTCCAGTTTGTGTCCTGCAGCTACTGACTGGTTTCAGGCTGGATCTAACCACCAGATGATGAAACTCCAGGCGAACTTTCCAGCATCCAAACCCACGGGAGGAATCCACATCCACTTTGATGCTGTGATTAACACAGCCCGTCCCTCCCCCAACCGTCTCCATCTCCATCTGAAGACCCGCCTCCAGCTGCTGCTCCTCCACCCGCAGTCAAACCCCCCCCCGCCCGTCCTGCCCGGGAGAGAGATCAGCGCCTGTCGCTGAGGGCCCAGCTCGGCCTCAGTGTTGAATTTCGTAATGGAATGCTAACTGCTCATCCGGATCCTTCCTCCTCCTCCTCCTCCTCCTCCTCCTCCTCAGCAGCAGGAGGAGGAGGAGGAGGACCAGAAGCATGAGAGGAGATCATCCCAGGCAAGCTGCACCCAGGAGGCAGCTGGTCCACCTGGAATAATGGGCTCCTCCTGCAGCATGGAGCCGCTCTCCTGCATCCATCAAAAATAACCAAGTCCATCTGCAGCTGCTGAGCAGAACCCGCCCCGCAGCGGCTTCTCCGACCGTAAACACCAACATGTTCAGGGGTTCCAGCACAACAATACAGGACGGATCCATCGAAAACATAAACCAAAACTTAATAAAAGAGACGCTGCAGGAGAAAAAGAGGAACAACACGGTTCAGAGAATAGTTTTTATCAAACTTTCTGGTTTGTTCTGATTTCCAGATTTAAACAACCGAGACCTGAAGAACCGTCAACAGCTCCTCCTTTCATCCGATTCATTGATGCAGACGTATACGGAAAAAAACCACCTTCCTTATAACGTCCACAACCCGTTAAATCCACAGAAACCAGGCAGAACTGTAAACATCGTGACCTCAGCTCCTCGCTAAGAAGCAGGTTTTAAATAAATCCATCTGGCTGCAAACAGATCAAATATAGAATAGA